GAGAGGGACCCAGAGACCTCGCCCTTTTCTGCTCTTGGACGCTACCTGATTCGTGGTGCTGTGTTCCTGCAGCCCTCGGAAACCAAGGAGCCAGGTCGGTGCGGCAGGTGGAAAGTCAGGGACATCCCACAGCAAATAGACAACCTGGGAGCAGTGTTTCTTCTCTCCTGAGCCGTGTGATTTGGGGCTGACTCTCTCACGGGCTCAGACTGAGCAATAATTGTGTGGACGGCACAGATCCGGGCAATATTTCTTTCTGTGGTACAGAGAGTCCCTATGTGTTGGGACTCCCTCAGCACCCACGGCCACCGCCACCACTGCATCACCCAGAGGAGCCCTGAGGGCCCAGGGGATGGAATGTCGGGCGCTCCTGGAAAAGTTGGCAATTCAAACCCATCAGCTGGTCCATGGGAGACAGGTACGTGTCAGTCTCCTTCCGTAAGAGGACCGGTTTTGTTTTGCTTCCATTACGACTGCAGCCTGTGCAGAAGGTGGCTGCCTGAGGTTCCTCGGGGTAGTTCTGCTCGGTCCTCTAGGTCGGTCGCTATGGGTTTGCATTACTTGGACGGCAACCAGTTTGGGGTTGGGTTTTTGAGTTAGCGACCTAAGCCTTGGTTGTCCGGTGATCAGACAGACATTTCTCCTCGAGATTGTGTGAGGAGTGAGTGAGAAAACATAAGCTTAGTCCCTGGAGGCTCCCTGACGCTTGGATAATGACAGTTCCTCTCCCTTGGTGGGGAAACCCCGTTGTAGTAGAAGCTTCTGGAAGACCTCACGATCTCTCCCGCTTTCAAAAATTTCTGTAATCATCTCTACATAGGGGAAGTTAGCGTTTGGAGGTGGGGAGAAAAAAAAAAGAAAGAAAAATCAAAGAATACAGTTAATGGAATCCATTCGCAAGACCGCATAGAAGTTCATAACCCAGCTTTGATCTGCAATTTGGAGGAAGGAGCTTCCAAGCATTTGAGGGATCATCTCCCCCGCCTTGATGTGATGTTAGAATTTAACTCCCATTAACCATAACAGGCGTAATGAGTAGGCAGCCAGGGGAAACACTTCCCC